GTTGATTCACTTTGAGCGAGTGCAGTTCCACCTGAAGAACTTTGACATGGTCATCGTCTACAAGGATTACAGCAAGAAGGTCACCATGATCAACGCCATCCCCGTGGCTTCGCTCGACCCCATCAAGGAGTGGCTCAAGTGAGTTGCGGTCTCTGTAAGCAGCCTTTGCGACACCGGTCACTTAGGTCTTGAAGCAGTGCTGGGGGATGCCCTGACTGCATGAAGCCGCTTTGGACTGCATCAGACATTGGCCCCTCAAACGTGGAACTGTTTGCTCAGACTGCCAGCAGCTCCCCAGGGTCTCAGGTAGAGGTCTTCCACATCACCTACTCCCAGGTCCATTTAACTGGCGGAGCCGGGGATTGAACCTGGGACCTTCTGCATGCCACTGGGCCACAGTCCCTCCCCGCAGTGTAAGCAATATAAGTTGATTGCTTCTTTCCCTTGTTTGGAAGAGATGATACAGACAGCAGGGCAGGCTCTGACCTCTTGGGTGTCAAAAGTAGTTCGGTACCATGTTCTTCGCCAAGACAGCACCCCACCCCTAAGGCAGAATAGCAACAACTTTCCTCCTCGGCAAAGGAAAGAGAATCAGTGGTAATTTACTCCCTTCTTGAACAATGCTTCCCTCTAAGCTGTGGAGTCTCGTGAGCAAAAATCCTACTTTGTGAGCTCCTGGCATCAAAGTTGTGAGCGAGCGATTTGGCTGCTGCATAAATTAGTTTGCTCTGGAGCCTTATCCTTCCTGAGCGAAGACCAAAATGTGTGAGCCGGAGGCTAAAAAAAACTGTGAGCTAGCTCACACTGACTCAGCTTAGAGGGAGCACTGCTCTTGCAATGACCTTGGGAGCGAAGAACTGAAGTACTCCCCTCTGCACAGGCCGTTGTGTGGGATGAAATTGACTGCCACCTGAAAAGGCGAGGGTGATTTCATCTCCTCCCAGTGCTGCGCATTCATCCTGTCTCGCTCTCTCTCCCCCTCCCCCCTACAATCAGCTCTTGTGACATTAAATACACAGAAGGGGTGCAGTCCCTTAACTGGACCAAAATCATGAAAACCATCGTGGATGACCCAGAAGGCTTCTTTGAGCAAGGCGGCTGGTCGTTCCTCGAGCCCGAGGGAGAGGTACGTTGCAGCGGGTGCCGGGAAACCAGAAACACGGTTGGAATCAGCATGCCGTGAGGGAGGGCTTTTGGCAGAGCCCACTGCTGTGGGTCTCCCCCCTAACTTACTTGCCAGTGCTCCACCATGCTCCCAGCAATTCACTGCCCAGAGCAGCTGGGGAAACGGCTGCAGACAATGGCGAGCTTGGGCAGGGGGAGAGCCCAGAAGCTGGTTGAGGGAAAAGTTAGCAGGCATGGCTTTTGTCTATCGACACCTCGGGGACCTGCACAGCCCCCAGCCAAGGCAAAGTCCTGGCAGTGCTGTTGGGACTGCACTCTTTCCAAATGTGTCAGCAAGTACGGACCTAGCCTCACCTCTCCTGCTTCCATTTTGTTTGCTGGTACACCAACATCTGTACTGGCAAACCTTACAATTTTTTATTGGCACTTGGGCACTTTTCTTTATTGGCACAAGTTCCCTATACCCCCAGATCTAGGTAGTAGATCTACAGAAGGTTGTAGGAGTGACACCAGACAGTTCTGCGGCCAAGGGTCATTTCCTAGAAAAAGAGGTGCAGGAGCTCATTAGCATAACTTACTTGCATAGGCCACACCCCCTGACATCACCGGAAGTGTGTCAGAGGGCAACACCCACCGCTCAGGCTCCACTGGACTGTTTTGGATTGCTAGCTATTGGGGGGGTGGGATGTGCAGATCTGTCCTCACAGAGGAGGGAGAGCTTGTACCTGAATAAAACTTGTTCTTAAAGGTGCCACTGGACTGTTTTGGGCCGGGGGGGGGGGGGGGGCTCTGCAACTTACCTGACTGCTTCTTGCTCTGACTGAGGGCTGCTGGGAGCAAGGGGTGGGGCTTGTTGCATGTGCCCGCCCCTGGGCTCTTTACTGCTGGACCTCCGCTCCTGTGCGCTCCCACAGGAAATGACCCTGCCCCAGTTTCACCTTCTTCTCTGTCTCCTCCAGGGAAGCGACGCCGAAGCTGGGGACTCCGAATCCGAGATCGAGGACGAGACGTTTAACCCCTCCGAGGATGAGTATGAGGAGGAAGAGGAGGACAGCGACGAGGACTACTCTTCTGAGGCAGAGGAATCAGGTGAGGAGGCTGCCGGTGGAGAGGCCCACCTGTCCCCGAGGTCCCCCTTCCCCGTGGCTTTGCCAAAGTCCCATGTTTGAGGCTCCACTGTCCTCTGCTCCAAAAGCCTTGGCGCCTTTCCTTCAGCCCGTCAGCCCTCCCATCCCTCGAGTGATTTGCAGCTGTCGCAGAGTAGCAAGGTGTGCTTTTCGCCAGGAAGTGGACCCTGGGGTACTGTGGTGTACTCAGCCATTTCAGCAGGGATGTGTCGAAACTGGGAGAGTAACCTGCACATCAGTCTAACTCCACAAGAACATCAGAAGATTCAGGAAATTCACAAAAAGCTCCCCCCACCTCCCCAGTGACTCCTGCTCCATGCCTAGAAGATAACAAAAACCTCCAGGATCTTGAGCCAAACTGGCCTGGAGAAAAATTGCTTCCAGACCCCAAAGGGGCAATCAGCATTTCCCTGGGCATGAAGAAGAGATTGGATTTATACCCCGCCCTTCATTACCCAAAGGTGTCTCAGAGCGGCTTACAATCTCCTTTCCCTTCCCCTCCCCACAACAGACACCCTGTGAGGTAGGCGGGGCTGAGAGAGCTCTGACAGAAACTGCTCTTTTTCCGCTCTTATCAGAACTACGGCTTGCCCAAGGTCATCCAGCCAGGTGCGAGGAGTGGGGAACCAAACCCAGTTCTCCCAGATTAGAGTCCTCGCACTCAACCACTACACCAAACTGAAGTCCAGCATCCTGTTTCACACAGTGACCAACTAGTTGCCCTGCAGGGCAAACATGCAGGGCCCAGAGATCTAGGCCCGCCTTTGTAGATCCCTCCTAGAACTGGGTTTTAGAGGCTGGTTTCTGTCACCATGGCTGCTAGCCACTGATGGAGCCCCCCTATGCATGCATAGGTCCAACTCCCTTTCAGAGACATCCGTGCTCACGGCCATCCCCTCCCGCCACCAGCAGTAAATTGCTCCATTTCTCCTAATCTTCCCCCCCACCCACCCACCGAAACGAATAAGAGTCCTGTTCTTTTCTGTTTGTCTTGTGCATGCTGGATATACGTAACCTGGAGGGGGGGGGGGGGGGTTTGGGGAGACCCAGAGACCCAGAAATCGCTCTCCTTGCTGAACCAGCGACTGTTTTTAAGCCCGCTCCTTGCGTCTGTCCCCTTTCATCAGATTGCTCCAAGGAATCCCTGGGCAGCGAGGAGGAGAGCGGGAAAGACTGGGATGAGCTGGAGGAAGAAGCACGGAAAGGTGAGAGCCCCTCCATTCTGTGGTCGGTCGCCCCTCACCCAGTGCCGCGTTCTGAAGACCACCTGCAAAGGAGGCACACCTGAGCCCACAAAGCTCGCGGGGGGGGCGGACAGGACACTGGAGTCGCATCCACGATTCCAGTATCTGGTCTGCCCGGTCGGTCATCGTCCCCGGGCACGATCCTGACGGCTCCTTCTCGCCCTCTCCTTGCAGCTGACCGGGAGAGCCGGTACGAGGAGGAGGAGGAGCGGACCCGCACCATCAGCCGCAAGCGGAAGGGGCCCCCGTCGTCCCACAGCTCCAGCCACCATCGCAGTTCCCACAGCCGCAGCCCCGCCCGGAGCTCGGGGCCTCCCAAGAAGAAGAGGAAGTAGATTGTGAACTCCAGCCTTCCTCCTCCGCACCCCCCCACCCACCCCCACGCCAATCTTAGGGGGGCGGTTCAGGCTCCTCCGAGGCCTCGTCCTGCTGCCAACGTCTAGGGCATGGGGGTGGCCGGCCCCTCCCCACAAACTTTACATCTTTCCCCTCGTGCACACCCCTCACCCCTTTTCCGTTTCTCTTTGGGAGGGGATATATATATATTATTATTATTTGGGGGGGGGGGGGGTTCGGTTTTTTTGTTTTCGCCCTTTGGCCTTTTTTTCC